AAACAATTTTGTTTTTCTTATTCTTAACAGAGTGAGCTCTTATTCGCCGAAATCGACTACATGCAGAAGAGAGTAAGAAATAAATCTAGTTTAATCCCCATTATAAATGTGTATTCATAATAATTTCGCGCATATGTAAATTAATGAACGATTATATATGCAGGAAGTTGATTTGCATAACGATAATCAGCTTCTTCGTGCTAAGGTAATTTCTACATTATATATCTATGTTTCTATGTTATTCTTTTAATTTTACGACGATTTGTTTCATAAATATCACATCCAAAAAGTTAATAAAATGGAAAAAAATGCTAAAGAAATGTGTGTAATGTATATAGATAGCTGAAAATGAGAGGAACAACCCGGGTATGAATCTGATGCCAGGAGGATCTAACTTCGAGCAGATTATGCCACCGCCTCAAACGCAATCTCAACCGTTTGATTCGCGGAATTATTTCCAAGTCGCGGCATTGCAACCTAACAATCACCATTACTCATCCATGGGCCGCCAAGACCAAACCGCTCTTCAGTTAGTGTAAGAAAACAAATCATGCTCCTATATCAATCTTTCTAATCTTATATTGGTCGCTTTTTCTGAAAAATTATAGTATTAATTTGGTCTTTGCAGGTAATATTGGCTGAAGGAAATGGGGGAGTGAATAAAAAACCAGAATTGGGTTGAGCAATATAAAAGCTAATGCATGTTAAATATTTATATATTTACTTTATGAATGTTGTGTATCGATCATTTCTACACTTATTTAAATTGCTTTATGTTGATGTGAAATTAATATGCTTAAGACATGTCATTAATGTGCTTAAAGAACTATGTGTATAAGTGTACTATTAGCTCAAGTATTGTACTTACCGATTCAAGCTCTATTATTTTAATGAAAAAATCAAGCTTAAGTACGTAATTAGGTTTAGATTCAAGTTAAACCGATTTAGATTATGTTCTAATCGTGATTTTGGATGGAAAACGCAAAATTTAAATCCTGTGTGGTTCAGGGTTTAAAAGTATAGATTGAGGGGATACAAATATAGAGAAACTTAAACATGTGTAACATTAAAGAGAGGCTTATACTTCGTGTGAAATTGACACTATATGATAGTTCTCGGGAAATACATATCGTCGACCCTAATTAAACTTTGTTATGTATAGTGTCACCTACCGCGTGGAATTCAAAGGATAAAGGTAAAATTGTATAAACATATATGGATTTAAATTAATTACTACAGTCACCTATGGATCAACAGACAAGATCCATCCCAGATTAAAAGCATAGACCTTTTAGTTCGGTTATGTTCATATTTACTATGAAGTTACCAAATTAAAACCATAATTAAATTTCGGTAGGTATTCTATATTTTTGTTTTTGAAAATTTCGATTAAATTGGTTACTTTTTCATGTTTATATCGGAGTTTTTTTTTTTTATATAATTTCAAAATTCGAGCCTAGACCCTAATATATGTGGTCCGGGATCAACTTTTAATCTATTTCTTTTGGAAAATATCATCTCTCCCAAAGGAAATTGAACTAGTTTATATCGGTTTTGGTGATGTAGTTTAGCTAAATTTTAAAATGTGATCTGCATAAATAATAAACATATTTAATGTCTAATGAATTTTGATTTATTAGATTCAGTTTGGTTTTTTTTTCAATATAAAACTATTGTTGCTATTTAATTCAAAATAACGTTCGGTTTTGGTGTGAGATATTTTTTGTCAACCCTTGCCTTGTTTATGTTCTTGTTGTTTAAAGGTCATGAAGAAGAAAAGAACCAAAAAGATTCCTTTGTGTATTCTTTTGGTGTAACAACTAACAAAGACACTAATTGTTACAAGAGAACCATAAATGTCACAAAAAGTGAAGAAAGAAGAAATCTAATGTTGAAGAGAAGCTAAGACTGAAGATACAATGTGAAGTGAACCGGTGACTATAACCATTCCCGAGTCACCGGTTTTGAGAACCTTGTAGGCAAGTTTTAAGGAACCAAACACAGTTTTGTTTTCTAAAGCTTCCATAAACCCTAAACCTAACTCATCAGCAGCTTTTATCCATGATTCTTTCAAAACCGAACACTCGGTTGATCTAACCTTACCTCCACCAATGTCAGTTTCTGTTAAGACCACTGCTTCCGGTTTTAGACCTGAGAGTAGTTCTTTTGCAAAAGAAACATGATCTTTGTCACTAGCCATTGCAACCACAAACACTAATCTCTTATCAGCAAAATCCTTATTTATCATCCTCTTTAGAGCTAGCGCAGATTCTTTGGTGTGAGCTGAAATACAGACCAAAAATTGAATACTGTAAACCAAAGTAGAAACATTTGCACATAGTTGCAAATCGACAGAGATACGAAACAGAGAGGATCAAAGCAAATATTAGCGATAAAAATGGAGAAGAGAGATCAACCAACCTCCATCAAGAAGCACTGTTGCTCCGGGTAATTGTAAAGCCTCTGCTTCGTTTGGTGTCAGAAACTGACTTCTACCAAGTAAACGAGTATTTTCTAAACCAATCCGAATAGCTTCATCTGTCACTCTCCCCCATCCTGATTATTCCATCAAGAAGTAAATGAAATGTAAACTTTTACTTCTTTTGTTTGTTTAATACGAACAATATAGGGATTCATACCTTGATCACGAAGACAGAGAGACACGCATGTGGCAGTAACCGCATTTTGGAGCTGGTGATGTCCAAGCATGCGTAGATTTACATCACCAAGCTCAACAATCTGCATTTGTTGGTAAGATAGCTAAGAATCACAAATAAATCTTTCTTGCTTTAAGTTAAGGAATAAAAAGTCTTACTGGTTTATCATCTCTCTCATTTCGTATGACAATGTCACAGGACTGACAAAGCCCAATCCCGTTCTTGTTGATGATGCCTTTAATTGAAGAACTAGACCCAATACTTGATGCCAATATAACCGATGACGACAATGATGCTGCTTTAGAACGAAGAATGCCCTCTATATGTGGAAGAAACGGCCCACCTAAAACCACCTACAAGTTTTATAACAAGGCAAACAACTCTATCTATCAAATGTGCTTATAACTAACGATCATAAAAGAAGACAAGCAAATACATAAAAAACCACCTAACTGGACGACTGTGTTTAATAATTCCAGATTTCGCCTCTGCTATACTTTCCAAAGAACCACCAAGAGCAGCCAAATGTTCCTCACCTATCGTCGTTATGACTGATGCAGCAAGATTTGAACTTTCAATGACATTTGTAGCATCACGAGCTCCTCCTAGCCCAGCCTGATGATAATACCAAATCAATTATAGAACCGAGCGTCTACAAAAAATGCTATGCAATTGAATCTAGAGGACTAGCTAACCTCTATAACCGCAATGTCGACATTTTCTTTCGAAAATAATGAAAAGGCTATCCCTGTGAGAATCTGTTGAAAAATATTAGAAAACAGAAACTGTGTGGAAGAAGGTAGAGAGAGCCTAAAGGGAAAGTAACATGATTAGTAACCTCAAAATGACTCAAAGAACCATTCTCCTCTTGAATAGACTGATCGAGGATCGGTTTAATCGAATAGAAGAGATCGTTAAGAGTGGATGCAGAGACAGGAACTCCATTACAGGAAATGCGTTCTTTGATACTCAGAATATGTGGACTGAAGAAGAAGAA